TTATTTTGACTTGGTTGCTGGTGTGTCATCGTACCTAACATGTTACAATGTCAATCACTGGTTTGTCAGGTCAAGGTTGATAACTTGCAGGCAGCCGTCACACCATGAAATATTACAGAGTTCGTTGTAAAACGCTTTCTGTTCAAATCGCCATATATTGAGAAGCACACGTAAAATACTAAGACGTTCTGCTATTCCTTATGTGATCATACAAATGTTGGTTGTCAACCGACCAGCTTTGTGAGAATTACATAACTGAACAGCTAACAAGTCAAATCCGACTACTCGTATATTAAATTTGTAGTGTGCACAGTCTATTTTTCTATTTTTAAACATTAAGTTGAATTCAAACTATTAAACCACTGTACCAAGTGGATGTGTATCTCCATTCTATTGTGATATGACCGCCTCCGTGGTCTAGTGGTAGAGTGTCCGCCCGAAGAGCGTCATTCCAAAAGACGTTGAAAGATGGTACTTATTGTTACCCTGTCTGGCGCTCGGTAGTTAGGGGCTAAAACAGGGACTGGTCACCCCGGTGTCTGTATACTGTGTCTGTGTGGGGTATTCATGTTATACTGCGGCATGGTATCTCGGTGGGCTAGCACTAAAAATCGGCATCGGTCAACATGAATAACCCACTCAGGCACAGTATACTGACGCTCTACCACTAGACCACGGAGGCGGCCTGCCTCACGTCGCTAGAATGAGTGGTAGTGCTTGGGGAGCGGTTAGCCAGGTTTACATTCACCTTTGTGTCCATGGTACAAACGTAAATGGTACTTAACTTTATATATACAGTGACAGTATGTTTGTTTGTTCATGTTCATGATTTCAATAACTGGATTATCTGGTCTAGATTCGGTTATTTACAGACCGCCGTCATATAGCAGGAATATTGCTGAGTGCCGCGTTAAACAAGAAGCAAACAAACAATACACAATATAAATTCTAATATGTCAAGTGTATAATTAATTATCCCTATCAAATGTTGAGTAGTATAATTAACACAATATCACTTTCCCATCTTACTGGTATCATTTATTGACAGTTTAAAGTTTATTTTGTTCGTAAGTAAGGCATATGTTCGGACACCTGGTTACTTACACATGTATTGAGTGATCACACATGACGTTGTGTTCGGTGTATTATCTATGTTACAAACCAGTTTTTCTTCAATACGGTTAACTACGTTTATAACGTACACGCCTATAACGAACAGACGGATATAACGAATTGTTTTTTTTTGTCCCGGCCACTTGCTGTATATATGCTTATGACGAATGAACTACGGTTATAACAAACTTAAATTAGTGGTCCCTTTGAGTTCGTTATAACCGTAGCTCACTGTGTTTCTTTCAGCCCCATATCAAGAAGTGTGTTTGTGTCTTCATCACTCAAGGGAACGTCACGGCCTCGACGTCTTCTGCATGTATTATTTTGCACAACCGATCGCCCCGAATGTACAAACGTAAATTTATAACATCCACCACACATTCACACCAGACACGTACTCTCCGCCAAAAGAAACGCGAACTATAGAAACACATAGTGAAGTATGTACGTTAAGAAGAGGTGTTTCCAATGTGTACCACTTAAAGACAAAATTAACAATCAGTCAAGTGTTACCACAGAGTGTCTTTATTCTTATCACGATATTTCAAAACAAGATTTCAAAACTTTATACGCTAATCCTGCACGAGACAAATGTGCATCTCGAGTCATGGATCTATGACGTCACATGTGATACTTTCATTAGCGTCGGTTCACAAAACATACCAGTATGTTCGTTTGTGCATCGAACCAAATTAATGTCTCTTAATATGAGTAATTCTTCATATTTTAACCAACATGTATGGTATTTGCGTTTCTTTTGTCGGTGAATATATAATAAATATTTCTCTAAACTGAACACATACTCACGTATTTATTTTTTCTGCGCATTCATATATGTGCAAGAACACATTTACACCACCTCTTGACTAGGTGTAAATGTACACACCTGGCAAATGTACTCACGTATGGAATTTCGTTCATATGTACCATTTACACACCTGTGTAATTTTACATACCGAAGTAAAATACATGTATGTATAAACGTGTTTCTTAAAACACTATTCTTAACTCTATCACCCCGAGAAATAAATCGCCCGAACGAACACAGGACAAGGATGTTGTATATCACAATGGAGGTCACCGATAACGGCATTTTGGAAATGGAAGCCGAGAGTTTCGAGTGAACACTTTCCCCTCGTCACCTGTGAAGATCCGGGGTAGAATAGATCTTCAGCAACCCATGCTTGCCGTAAAAGGTGACTATGAGGCCACTAACAGGACCGGGTGGTCAGGCTCCCTGACTTGCTTGATGCACGTCATCGATCCCAATTGCGTGGATCGATGCTCATGATGTCAATCACTGGATTGTATGGTTCAGACTCGATTATTTATAGACCGCTGTCATACAGCTGGAATATTGCTGAGTGCGGCGTTAAACAACAAACCAAACCCCTCGTGGACTCTACCGTTAAGTCTGTCCTCAGATTATCCAACCGTTAGTGTAGCGCGATAGGCAATAGGCAATGAGCTACGATTTCTTGAACAAACAAGACGCGAAGACACACAAACCGAGAGAAATGTAATTTTGTAAAATACTTATACACCGTTGTATCGAACCTTGGTGTGCCGAAATTGCGCTTGTCTCGAAGTAAAAGCTTGGCCCGTGCGTATTCCTTTTTTCTTTATCATTTTCGATTGTGTCGAATGGATAACTCGAAGTATTTACGTTTATTTATGTCAATTCAACTTCGACACAACGGCGTGTGATTGTAAAGTCGGACAAGAGAATCCGCGACAGTTGATAGTTGAGAATCCGCGACAGTAAATAAGGAAGAAAAGAATCTATACCACCCAGTTGATTTTATATGGTTGGTTTTCAAATGTAAATACCTTAAGTTAGCGATATTATATAAAAAACAAAACAACATATTTCCGCACAACACCCAGCTGCTGATGGGTATCATGGTATCTTAGGGGTCATTTCAAAAGTTCCATGTCGAATAAAACTTTATTTGTTAAGTTTTGAAACATACACCCCACCCCATCCACAACGACGTGTGTATTTTATAACGTAACGCGTGATGTTGTTTGTTTCTTTGTTGTTCAATGCCGCACTCAGCAATATTCCAGCTATATGACGACTGTCTGTAAATAATCGAGTCTGGACCAGACAATCCAGTGATTGACATCATGAGCAATTGGGATACGATGGCATGCATCAGCCAATCCAGCGAGCCTGACCACCCGATCCCGTAAGTCGTCTCTTACGACAAGCATAACGCGAGATGTATGTCTATGTTATCAAATCATGATGATTATTAATCAAGCAGGAGAATACACGACCGCATGCAGCCTGGTTCCCTGGGTATGCTGCGCTGGCGCTACACTGACCCAGGCAATGACTGCACAATGGCCGCCTCCTCTAGACGAACAGACATGGCGGACACATCTTCTCGAGGCAAAAAGTTGCTTGACACACATTATGTCATTGTTGTGAGACGTTAGGTCGTCTGCTCTCACTCCCCGCTACAAGGTCATGTCAAGGTCACAAATTTGTATGATAACAATGAAGAAAATATACATGATATATTACAAAACTGGTATTTGTAGTTAGGTCAATGATTATTAATCGATAATAACCAACTTTCGTTGCGTGATTGTGTGTTTAATGGGAAATATTTATGAAAAACCGGCTGCCAAAATGATGGTTGACGGACAATAGTTCATCTTCCCTAGGCAAGTGAGTTAACTGACTATAAAAGTCCAGTGGAAACTGGACTTTTAAAGTCAGTTGACGCTCTTGCCTCGGGAAGATGGGCGGACATGACATGTATTTACTATAGAAAAACGCTAGAACGGCTGGTTAAAATGGCGGACACGACACGTTGACCACCACAGCACTATACATGCACGTGTGAAAGTAGAGGAGTTGTGTAGAGTGTGTTGATATATACAAACATAAATCACAGTTTTTGTAATCAGTATTGGCAATTTTGGTCGAGCCTCTCCGTTGCTTTTTGCAGATAAAGCAATGAAAGTGTCCCTAGAAGCTTTCAGTTATTCTTCCCAGTTCAATATAAGACCTTGCTGAAATAGAACAAACTGGAAAACCACAATATCACTTCCTCACATATACGTTGATAGCGAACATGTACACTTCCGTCCCACCAGAACGAGACTACCTTCCTACAGCAATCGAGTCTGAAGTTGTTAAATATCAGCTATTAGTGCTGAAGTTGTTCAATATCAGCTGGTCACAAGCTCTGTCTCAAGACCACCCACGAAAACTCCAATTCAGTCATGTCAACAGTCGCAGATGAAATGTCAATGAAGCTTATTGTGTTAGTTCAAACGTCACACTGTTTCCACCCGGAAGTCTTTGAGCGAGGTTTTGATAAACACTGCAGACAGACACTCCGAGCCGACCAGTCCCTTAATGCCATACGCCAGACAGAGTAACAAGTACCATCTTTTAACGTATTTTGGTATGACACGGCCTGGGATCAACCAAGACCTTCCGCTCTCCAGGCGGACGCGCTACCACTAGATCACGGAGGCAGCCCAAAACTATGGCGTTGTAAAATATTAAGACAGGTTTTGGCTAAAAAAGATTTTTATTGTACATTAAACATATATATTGTTATAAAAGTGGTAAACTATAAAAACAAAATGTAATTAGGTAAAATACATGCAAGAAATGACTAAAAGGTATAACCTCACACACTGGATAACATATAGATAGATGTTTACAATTTGAAACATACACTTCGTCCTCCACAACACTGTTTTTAGCATATAGTTTACGCATGCTGATATACGGAGAAAGAAAATCAATTCCATTGTGGCGTATTTAGGTCACATGTTACTTCAGGTCTTCCAGTCTTTGGGTGTCGCTCAATGGTTTCCTCTAATATATTTCTTTTAGTATTGACTGGGCCAAGAAAACTTTACACTGGGGATGATACTGAGCCCGCTATGGGGAAGTCCTTAAGCCCGTTTTTTTTACTGATGTTTGTTGTCACATGTTCTGGTAATGCATTATGGGAGCGACGTACTCGCCCCCGTCCGGCCACCGCCTCGTACACTTCATCCGGTGGCGGAGAGGGCTGGGCTATACTTTTGTCTGAAATTAATGGAAAGTAACATTTAGAAACGGAACGGAAACATCGCGAAATATTACACATAGGCGCAAGGTTATCGGCTCAATTATTTTCAGTAATTCCCAGTGAACATTATTATTTCTGCTTCCTCAAAATAATTAACTCGGGATAGATAATCCCTACTTCCTCAGTACTCCAGGGTTTTTCCCATTGCTCTAATTATTCTCATTGCCATGTTTTATTAATCTCCTGTACTGAATTCCTGGAACAAATACTTTTCTAGAAGCTAATGCATGTCATGAGTTACGATTACACATACCTTTTAGAAAGTGGTCAAATGTAACAAACGTTATATATGGGATTACAATTTCTACTGTTTTCTTGGGGGTTCTTATCTAACCCACCAGCGATCTAACCCACTCAACCGCCGAGGCTTCCACAAAAATGGAAGTCCGCCAACTGGTAATCCAGATCACCCTTCTGATATATCATACCCGTGAAGATCCGGGGTAGAATAGGTCTTCAGCAACCCATGCGTGCCGCAAAGGGCGACGACTCTTATCGTAAGAGGCGACTAACGGGATCGGGTGGTCATGTAGATCGATGCTCATGATATCAATCACTGGATTGTCTGGTCCAGACTCGATTATTTACAGACCGTGTGCGGCGTTAAACAACAAACCAAATAACAAACAACTCTGATAATTCACTGCAAACTGACACGGCTACCATGCTCCAGAAAGCTAGGAATACACGATGCCTTCTAGAAAGTGGTCAAATATAACAAATGTTATATTTGGGATTGCACCTTCTTAGTACAGTACAAAATTGTAGTACTTTCTTTGAGCTGAGTCCCATTCGCATTTCGAACCCTCACTCTCAGAGTACTAAATATGTACTTTGAACAGAAGCAAGAACCCAAAAGGAACGTGACTCCGAATGAGCCCCAATAGTGCCCCGAGTGGAACGTGGCTCCCAATAGTGCCCCCAGTAGAACGTGACTCCAAATCCTTACCCCAGATGAATTCGAACTCGACTCCCAGTCTTGACCACAGGGAACTCGATTACCAATCTTAACACCCCCGGGAACTCGACTCCCAGTCTTGACCACAGGGACCTCGATTACCAATCTTAACACCCCCGGGAACTCGACTCCCAGTCTTGACCACAGGGACATCGATTACCAATCTTAACACCCCCGGGAACTCGACTCCCAGTCTTGACCACAGGGAACTCGATTACCAATCTTAACACCCCCGGGAACTCGACTCCTAGTCTTGACCACAGGGAACTCGATTACCAATCTTAACACCCCCGGGAACTCGACTCCCAGTCTTGACCACAGGGAACTCGATTACCAATCTTAACACCCCCGGGAACTCGACTCCCAGTCTTGACCACAGGGAACTCGATTACCAATCTTAACACCCCCGGGAACTCGACTCCCAGTCTTGACCACAGGGAACTCGATTACCAATCTTAACACCCCCGGGAACTCGACTCCCAGTCTTGACCACAGGGAACTCGATTACCAATCTTAACACCCCCGGGAACTCGACTCCCAGTCTTGACAACAGGGAACTCGATTACCAATCTTAACACCCCCGGGAACTCGACTCCTAGTCTTGACAACAGGGAACTCGATTACCAATCTTAACACCCCCGGGAACTCGACTCCCAGTCTTGACCACAGGGAACTCGATTACCAATCTTAACACCCTGGTCCCTGGTCCAGGGATGTTAATTCAGTCAGTGACAGTATCAGGAATGTCCATCCATTGGAGGTAGGTATCTAACTGAAAATGTACCTTGTTAAGTTTTCAACTCACAAAAACTATTTTAAATACTTCTAATACAAACAAACAAAAATAATCTGACACAAGCACCTCTGAGGCAATAAGGAAATCAATGCCCTATTCAGTTAGCTGTCAAGAGGTACACGTGCTGTTACGTACAACAATGTACAACAGAATAATCAATACGAACAATGAATAGACCCGGAAGTGTGCACTGCATATACGATCTCACTTCCCCCTCAGACAGAACGTGTCAGTGAGACATTGACTGTTCTAACCTTCTACAGATTGCCCGTTTTCCTTTTCAACAAATAGTCGTTAACAAAGCTTTGTCGACACGGAACGAAACACAAATTTATAACTGGAGTCATTAAAACGAATCACACATGTAGATCTACCCATTCTGGCTGCAATCTCATTAAAACCAGATCTTTTACTACAATACGACACCTCTCAGTGCGATGAACTGACATTCTTAGGAGGCTAATTTTTGGATCAGCCAATGAACTACGTGCTGTGAATGTTTTAGGGACATACTATTTTATCAAGAGGAACCAAACAATTTATTTGGGGTCCTATAACACATTCCTTCAAGGACACCAAGGAACCAGTAGCTCGCCACGCCAAAGAAATTGGTTCCCCACATGTCCAGTCCATGTCTGGTGCCACCGTCCACCATGACATTGCGGGAGTATTATTAAAAGCGGCGTACAACCCTACTCACTCACTCACTTAAGCGAACTGTCACACAATTGATGATCTTTCCAGGTAGACAGGTCAGGGAGTAATCAATCTCATTAAAATCAGATCCTAGTTCTCGTTGACTCTCTCATAGATCAGGTAGGTGAGTGAGTGAGTGAGTGAGTGAGTGAGTGAGTGAGTGAGTGAGTGAGTGAGTGAGTGAGTGAGTGAGTGAGTGAGTGAGTGAGTGAGTGAGTGAGTGAGTGAGTGAGTGAGTGAGTGAGTGAGTGAGTGAGTGAGTGAGTGAGTGAGTGAGTGAGTGAGTGAGTGAGTGAGTGAGTGAGTGAGTGAGTGAGTGAGTGAGTGAGTGAGTGAGTGAGTGAGTGAGTGAGTGAGTGAGTGAGTGAGTGAGTGAGTGAGTGAGTGAGTGAGTGAGTGAGTGAGTGAGTGAGTGAGTGAGTGAGTGAGTGAGTGAGTGAGTGAGTGAGTGAGTGAGTGAGTGAGTGAGTGAGTGAGTGAGTGAGTGAGTGAGTGAGTGAGTGAGTGAGTGAGTGAGTGAGTGAGTGAGTGAGTGAGTGAGTGAGTGAGTGAGTGAGTGAGTGAGTGAGTGAGTGAGTGAGTGAGTGAGTGAGTGAGTGAGTGAGTGAGTGAGTGAGTGAGTGAGTGAGTGAGTGAGTGGTTTACGCCACTTTTAGTAATATTCCAGCAATATCACGGCGGTGGACACCAAAAATGGGCTTCACACATTGTAACCATGTGGGGAATCTCTACAGGATAAACATTTGAAACGGAAAAGACTTTTCATAGGAAGTACTGCCATGCGATATCGGCCATTTATTAGACCTTCCGGAATTATTTTTTCTCAGTTATGTAATTTTGAATAGAAAACTTTCTCAAAGGATTTGTTCTAAAGCGTCGGAATGGAAATCACGAGTTTGAAACTTTTGAAGTTAGCAAAAGCTGCTTTCTGATGTCGATGTTAGTCATTTCACTGGTGGGTCAATTTTCGAGAAAGGTCGATCTGACGTGACTTCTAATGGGGATTAGCGGTAGCGAGCACTGAGATCTGATTTTGATAAGATTGGAGAGTCATGACCAGGCCAGTTAGCCATTGTTTCCAATCGATCCTCATCCCAGTAGAGAGAGAGGAAGGTCGTTGGTTCGATCCCCTGACCGCGTCATACCAAAAGGATGGTACTTCCCAGATAGCATTCAGACGTTGGCCCAACGTCGGCAATGGTTGGCAGTGTCGCGGTCGGATTTTATACGTTGGCCCAACGTTGTTACAACGTTAGGTCGCATTTCGGAAATTATTTCCAAGGGGCGCTACTCGTAATTGACAGCTTCACTAAGAGGGCGCTTCGTTTTTTGCGCCTCTCAACGAGCAGACGACGAGACACAAGCACACGTTCGATCATCGGAATACTGTTTTCCTCGAATATATGGAGGTAAGTGTTTAATCAATATCTAATATGATGTACAAACAGTACCCGAGAATAAAACAACCATTGTTCATTCAGAAATATCAACACGAGTAATTATTTTCCAGAAATTGAAAACACCACAAACTTCATGACCCGAAGCCAAATAGGAATATGTCACTCTGATTGCTTGCAAATATATAGCTTACTATTACTAGCATACCCCCAAAAAAGTCGCGCTTGTCCGTGTCATAAAGTTTGTCGTGATCGTGAGGACAAGTTAGTGCAAAGAAATGTGCACCGTGTCGCGTAAGTTCAGATGGAGTGTCGATCTCAGCTGTTTCTAACAGTTGGTGGTCACCGGACAAAACACTGCCTGTGGTATTTGTAAATGAATACTGGTTGTTTCTATTCTCGTGGAAGTTTAAAAATAACAAGCAAACTCAACTGAAAAGGTCAATTTCGTTCTCGCTTGTGAAATTTTACGGTCAAAAAGATCAACTAAACTGAACAATTCAGAACGAGGCTTCCAAAACTCAAAGCATTCCGTGTACATGATAAAATAATACCATGCAGACTCCTACTGATCAGTGTACGGAGCTTTTCCCTGTTGTCGGCAACATCGCGAGTTCAGTTTTCGATCACAAATCAGTGGCCGTGGGATTGTGTTCGTTGTTATTTGAAAGGGATTGATAATGGCATAATCGCTTTTTTATTTGTGCATACCGCGGGGGAGTAATGGTTAGAACGAAGGGAACGTATTGGATTAGATTGGGTACGAAATAGTCATGAAATCATTTCCGATTGAGAATAATATATTTCAATAAATATTTACAGAGCTGTTTCAGCTTCATCTGGTGTTGTCTCCGATATCGCATTTTGTTAATTTTTCCAACGTTACTATCTTTGTAAATGTTAGAACTTAGATATCATGGCATATTTATATGGTAAATATTCATATTTATATTTTTAAAATAAAATAGAATCTAAAATCACGATTTTAATTTAATACCAGTGTTAACACTTCTATTACTTATTGGAAGGTCAATTCATAATCTTATTCAACATTCATGCTTCCAACTTTGGAACTCTTTATTTGGCAATATTTAATTTTCATTTATTTGTTTATTTTTCACATCAGATTTTAGAAACTTTGCCAACATATGCATGCTATTTTGCATTATTTTTTACTTGATCACAAGTTTGTGAGGTACAGCAGAAAGGTAAAGTTATTGCTTTTGAATAATTACAGTTGATTTCTATTGGCTGATAAAACTATTTGCCAAAAATAACACCACTCACATCATACTGTTAGTAAATCAGATTTATCTCTACTGATTTATTTGAGAATGTGATACTTTGAGATTTCTATTTTTCTTTCAGGTGGAGTTTACAGTATTGTGGAAGCATATTTGTTTACATCACATCACAGCCAGAAAGGTATACATGATGCAATAATATATTTCAAACATCTTCAATAATAAAAATTTAGATGATTCTTATTTAATTACACCCCCAATCTAAAAGGGCGGGTGATCAAGTTTATCTGTCCGTCCTTCCTTCCAAAGACATTTTTGTGTGTGAGTGCAGTGCAAAGTAAAGTTTGATTTTGATATGTATATTTTCTGAAAAAAATAAGATTCTTTAAATGTTTTTGACTTCAAATATTTCTTTTTATTTCAACCTTTGTGCGACCTATCACTTGAACACTACTTCATGGATTCTTTTCCAATTATGGGTACAGTTTCTACACCCACAGGAGAGGTGCAGTGTGAAGTTTGGTTTTGATTAGTGTATTTTCTAAGAAAATATAGCTTTTGTTATGATTTGAACTTAAAATATTTTTTATTTCAACAATTGTGCTACCTATAACTTGAGATCTACTAGAGAACATGGATTCTGTCCAAATTTAACGAACACTTTTATATTAAAAAATGGGATGCACAGCAAAGGTTGATTTTGATATGTGTATTTTATTAAACAATATAATTTTTGTACATGTTTTGAACTTAAAATGTTTTTTTTTTAATTCAACATTGTGCGACCTTTAACTTGAGAACTGCTGCATGGATTCTTTCCAAATTTAAGAAACACTTTCTATAGTAATAAAAGAGGTACAGTGAAAATGTTGATTTTGATATGTGTATTTTCAGAAAAAAATATGATTTGTTTCATGTTTTGAACTTAGAATTATTTTCTTCAACATTTGTGAGACCTATAACTTGATGTGCAGTGCAAAGTTTGATTTTGATAATTATGCTTTTTCTATGTTTTAAACTTTGGAAAATGAATGAGTCTTTACTCTTGTTCATTTAGTGTTAATAGCTTTTCTGCCTATCTATGATTCAAGAGCATCATGGTATTACTGTCTATGCTACCTTCCCAGTTGTAGCAGTTTTTAACAGTTTTATGACTTGGATGGGTGGAGGTAGCACTGCTGAGACTTTTTTTCATACATCAAATTATTATTTAGGGGAAGGCAACCATTTTGTATGTAAAAAATGTCCCTTGCCTTATCATTATAATAATTGTGTCATTGTTTTAATCAGTTACCAAGGCACACGGACCGTGGATACAGTTGAAGATCATCCCTGTGTTAAGTTCTTCTGACATCTGAGGATTGAAAAGGCTCCTCAACCACTCAGCCCAAGTTCTGATTTGTCATGTAACAAATAAATAAAGGTCACCGAAACCAGAATTCTATTGTCATTTTGTTGCTGTTATCATATTTTTTAATAGATCAAGTATATTGATCATAGGACATCCTATGCATGGACTATTTTGCTTGTCTCAGCGTTGCCCTAATGCTGAATGTATGGGGTAAGGCCAAGAAAAATTAAACGTTTCAATTTGTGGCAGGCTTATTGTCTGATGGTTTTTAATTTGGAAACTTGTGGGAAAATCATTTATCTTTTAATAGTGTTGAAACATTTGTGAACAATTTGCACATAGTCTTGAAAATGGTTTTGGAAAGTAAATATTATAGCACGAAATTGCACGTGTAATTTGAAACATTTTGAATTTTTTCTTGGCCCTATTTCAATCTATGTATGCTGAGGTACCCTGCCAGAAGAGAGCGCATTTCATTGGCATGTTCTTTCATGGAAAGAGTTCAGAGTGAATCTAACTTGCAGAATGTATTGCTTGTTACCTGATGTCTTAACTACCTTGGTACAAACATTTCAGGCTGCCTGGGAGGTATAGTGAGGAATAAAACAGACGTAATCCAACGTTGGCCATCAACGTTGGGCCAATGTTGGCTATCAACGTTGGCCCAACGTCATTCTGACCGGCGGCCCAACGTTGGGCCAACGTTGGCTGAACATTGTTGTCCCAACGTTGGGTCAACGTTGGCCCAACGTTGGCAAAGAAACGTTGGCCCAACGTTGGGTCAACGTTGGACCAACGATGTTCGGCCAACGTTGGCCCAACGTTGGGCCGCCGGTCAAAATGACGTTGGGCCAACGTTGATAGCCAACGTTGGCCCAACGTAAGTGATAACGTTGGCCCAACGTTGGCCCAACGTCTGACTGCTATCTGGGTTGTTGTTACCCTGCCTGGCTCTCGGCGAAGCGTTCGTTTGTCTCCATTTTGCCAGTTGAGCTCCAGACAACTCGTACAATGTTAATTTACATTAAGCGACGCTATGATGAGAGGTCGGAAAATGAATGTTGGCATGACGGCACATGTATATCATTTAAAAAATTTAATCAAATGTTACTCAATGACCGATTCATGATAGAACACACGATGTCTCGAGTTTACATAACCAGTAATGTTTGAAACTAACTAGACTAGCGCTAAAATAATATCCAGTTTTGATAGAAACAATTTAGCAACTCCATTTAAATAGAAAAGGAGACCCAGTGACATGGGATAACCTGTGGAAAATCTAGACTTGCTTTATATAGAGCTATAGCATTAGTGTAAGGGCTGGGCGGGATGGGAAAAATATGGTTCAAGGACTGTAAGCAGACTAGCGCCATCGGACAACGCACAGCTTTTACCAATGTAAAAAAAACTAATGGTGGACGACTGTACGCTTCCCTACCTTTTTTCCTGGAGTTGGCTGTAGGGGGGAGGGGTGCGGCAGAGCGAGGGAGGCTGGGTGTGTGGGGAGCATGGCTGCCCGGCACAGGTGGTCTCGGCATTGAGGGTCGGGTCACACTTGGGCTGAGGGGGCAGACTGGGTTCGGCTTCTCGGTAGCATTGTACGGGTTGCTGTTTTTCCTGGGCTGTGATGACAACGTGCTGTTCTGTGTCGGCAACGCGATAGCAGATCTGGAAATAAGAGCAGTAAAATATGACTTTGATCTAATACCTGTTTTCATAAAAGAATGATTTGTTGGGACTTTCATACACTGTATAAGAAAATTGCTTCTTGTTTCGAGTTTATGTTGTACGTTTTGCTAAATAGATTAGTTCACACACACACACATGCACACAAACATGCATATACACATATACACATAAGCCCGCATACATGCATATATATATATATATATATATATATATATATATGTGTGTGTGTGTGTGTGTGTGTGTGTGTGTGTATACACACACAAACAGAGAGGTACACACACACACAGAGACACATATACACACACATACACATACATGCAATTTACACACACATACACATATATACTCACATGCACACACACACACACACACATGCATACAAACATGCACACACATATACACATATACACATAAGCCCGCATACTTGGTCAGGTTCGCTGACTTGGTTGATGCATGTCATCGTATCCCAATGGCGATGCTCATGCTATCAATCACTGGATTGTCTGGTCCAGACTCTATTATTTACAGAGCGCCGTCATATAGCTTAAATGTTGCTGAGTGCGGCGTTAAATAACAAACAAACAAACTCTCTCTCTCACACTCACACACCTCGCACACACCACTAATATACAGGAACAACACAAGAGATCACCTGCATTCTGGGTTCTTCAAAAGGGGGTCGTTTGTACCTGAAATGCAGAAAGAACACCCCGGTTAGCATGTGCCATGGTTCAACACACATGGTGTCATCACACTTGTCATGTTCTACTCGTGCTGTGAACTTGCTTGGTAAAGTTCCTAACGTCTGTTAAGCCGCATTTGAGATTGTTGAAAGTTCATTTGTAGTGATTATCAGTAGCAGACTCAAGTGCTCGTCTAGCAAATATCTGGATGTCAAGATCGTCACCCTGGGAAGAAAGGAACTGCGCCAGCGCTCTGAAGATGAGCAGGATGACGATCCTGTAATTAAAGCACTCCCTAGACAACCGACCCGTGAAGATTCCGTGGTAAAATAGGTCTTCAGCAGCCTATGCTTGCCGTAAAAGGTGACGATGCTTGTCGTAAAAGGCGACTAACGGGATCGGGTGGACAGACTCGCTGACTTGGTTGATGCATGTCATCGATCCCAATTGCGTAGATCGATGCTCATGATATTAATCACTGGATTGTCTGGTCCAGACTCGATTATTTACAGACCGCCGTCATATGGCTGGAGTACTGCTGAGTGCGGCGTTAAACAACAAAGCAACCAACCAACCCTAGACAACCGCTTTCTTTGGCTGAGGCTCCCATTGACAATCACAACAAATACATAAATCAATCTCAGCTGCCACAGGGAACACGGGTGGCCAAGTCGTCTAAGGCGCCGCGATTCGCTGTGCAGAGTTGCGTCCCTTGGGCACGCCAGAAACCTATGATCGTGGGTTCGAATCCCGGTTCGCCCCGATTATGTTTCTAGGTTTGTCAGCACCATAACTGTGCTCGTGGGTTTCACCGAAGTGGCTAACGTCTGAGACCTGCATCACTTCGGACTTTCCTCCCACATTAAGCTGACACGCCGTGATATAACTGGAATACTGTTAAAAGCGGCGTTAAACCCAGCTCACTCACTCACTCTGCTGCAACAGAACAGAACGTTCACAGAAAAAAAGATGTAGAAATCCATGTCAATTCGGTCTTCACGTTAATGTTTGCCGATAGAGGAAGAGAAGTTACCCCTTGACTTGGTTCTGAAACAAATGCGTCGACCGAATATTGTTAAAATTATATATTCCAAATATTTATCATTCTAAATTAAAATTTCAGCACTGACACATCTTATCACTTACTGCTGTTGATGAAAATCAACAACAGTAAGTGAAAACCATACATGTCCCATTTGAAAAAAATATATGTGTGCATCATAACAAATATTATTTTGAGTTTTTAATTCACTGTATGTATTTTATATACAACACCAGGTGCGTTCAATTGGTAAACGAGTAAATGAACAATCAATAAAAAATTATTAGGCTCAACCGATGCCACATCACTAATGATTTCCGCCATAATTATTTTTATAAAAGTTCTCTAATGATGGATGTTAGGTCTGTCTACAAGCAACTGTATACATACGTTTTGTCCGCCACACGTAATACCCTGCCAGACACAGCCCCGCAACGACAAGGAGGGCCACGGTGATGCCAATCCCGATGCCGGCCCCCACTCCAATGTCAGATGACGTCACAGGATCTAGAAGGTGTTCAAATGTGTATAGCAATATTATAACTCACCCGCACTAGGGCGGATACAACGACGTTATAGATCACGCACAGGGGCGGATACAACGACGTTGTAGATGACATACAGGGGCGGATAAAACACAGTGATAGCTCATCCATAAAAAACGGATACAGCCCCGTGACAGCCTATCCACTAGAGAAGAATACACCGTCGCGACAGCACATTCACAGAAATACGAATACAACCCCGTGCAAGGCTTACCCACAAGAGACAATTGCAGTGTCGGTATAGCCTATCCACGAGAGAAGAATACATCATCGCGATAGTTCACTTAAAAAAAAAAAAAATCAAAGCAAATGCAAGTAATACGAGAGGTGGAATCTGATTGGTCACTACGAGAGGCACAACAGGGACATAACTGGAGGCGCTACGATTAAGCCCAGGAATTCCAGCCCAGATCGGCAAGGGTGGAAACTGGACTTTTAAAGTCAGTTAACTCTCTTGCCTCGGGAAGATGACAATAGTTGTGCGTTCCAGAATACACGCGGCTTCTTCTCCTGACAGCCATAATACATGTATACATGTAGTACATTATAGTATGGCATCTGAGGGTTAATGCGTTATGTTTCCGGTGCTGCTCTAGCATTGATTGACACTGGTCAAGTCGGGTTGAATCTGGTCATCCCACTTTGACAGAAATGTGGTCATCTCAGTTTATTCAGGTCAGTCACATAAGATTTTAGTAATCGAACGCCTGCCGTGCTATTGGCAAATAAAGCCAAAGGTTTGTTTGTTTGTGGTTTAACGCCGTACTCTGCAATATTCCAGCAGCATGACGGCAAAGAATCGACCAGAATGGACCAGACAATCCAGTTCTTGCCATCATGTACATCGATCCACGTGGGTCACGATGACATGCATCAACCAAGTCAGCAGCCTGACCACCCGATCCCGTTAGTCGCATCTCACGACAAGCATAGTCGCAATTTACGGCAAACATTGGTTGCTGAAGACATATTCTAACCCGGATCTTCACGGGTAATAAATCCAAAGGGCATCTGTTGATTTACTGGGATTTGTCCTCCCTGAAGTATAGCTGAATACCGCTAGATTTGTCGTTGTGTTTGCATTCTCAGAAAAGTTCAATTATGTCCAAACATTTGAGTTTTCTTTGTACACCACGATATCACACAATAAAGTAAAGGATCGCTAGGGCATTTGTTCCTAAACGTGGTGTCCATAGATATAGTAACATGCCTATCTTCAAAGGTCCAGGACAATTTGTCAACAATCTGATGTTTACTGAGGAAACAGTTTGTGTAATCTTGCACTTCCTCACCAATAACGATATGTGTTATTTGGGATAATGTCTGTATGCATACCAGGGACTTGATGTGGCAAGGGTAGAAACTAGGCTTTGATATAGGCAAGTGGACACGCTTGCCTCGGGAAGATTTTTTGTTAACAATATATTATTATTAATAAAGATTTTCTTTGACACTTTTCTAATATTTGTTTAACTTATATTATCGTTGGTTTCACAATGAGAAAATTACCGAACATGTCCCTAAAAGTCTCATGAACGTTAACATTTGTGTGCAAAAGTCAGGGTTAAGGTGTAGGACGTCAAACACGTCGCCAAAAACAGCCGATATTGTTCCGATATCGAACGTGTACAGTTTTGATGGGGTATCCGCAGCCATTGTTATATGTAGGATATGGATATATCGGTGTACTCATACGCACAACTTTTGTGTGAAAAGGCTTCCATCATCAATGGACTTTGATACCCGATGTTAATCCAATTTAGACCATTCAGGCATTCTTAATAGTCACGGTAAAATGGAGTACGAACTTTCATAGAGTGACGTCCAAATATTATATGGATGTCGTCGTAAGCTCCCAGGACAAATATACAGTCCGACTAAATGAACACACAGGGTCATGTAGATTGAATACTGCTGGGTGCGACGATACACAACATACAACCAAGGTCTGACTTGTTGTAGACCGTCCGCCCGGAGAGCGGAAGGTCCGGGGTTTGATCCCCCGCCGCGTCATACCAAGAGACGTTAAAAGATAGTACTTGTTGTTACCCTGTCTGGCGCTCGGCATTAAGGGGCTAAAACAAGGACTGGTCGGCTCGGAGTCAGTATACTGTGTATGAGTGGGGTATTCATGTTAAACATCGGCATGCTATCTCAGTGGGCTAGCACTATAAATCGACATCAGCCCGGACTAGTACAAGCAGCCACACACACACACACACACACGCACGCACGCACGCACGCACGCACGCACGCACACGTGCACGCACGTCGCTATATAAGTGCAATAATCTTGGACGCTTCATTAAACCCCATTTCACTTCACCTCACCTGAATTCGTATTAATTGGCATCTTAGTAGGCTTTGTTAAAGTAATACCCCAAGTTTAAATCTTATGAGGAACTCTCAACACGAGTAGGGTCCTTTATCACTTTGGTGAACCCCAAGGAATGCATCTGGTCCCGAGATGCCACGGATCATAATATAATCGGGTCGAATCTCGGATTCAAACCTACGACAGTGGGTCTTCTTAATCGTTCTTGACACCAACTTCAGCCGGTGCACACATATGTACCCATGTCCTCGTGGACAATATTACAGTATGAAGGAGCCCCGACTAGCCTAGTCGTCTAAGGCGCCGTCTCCTATGACATAGTGGTTAAAGCGTTCGCTCGTCACGCCGAAGACTCGGGTTCGATTCCCGACATGGGTACAATGTGTGAAGCCCATTTCTTGTGTCCCCCGCGGTGATATTGCTGGAATATTGCTAAAAGCGGCGTAAAACCATACTCACTCACTCACTATGAGATTGTGGTTTCGATTCCAAGATTCGCCCTGATTATGTCACTAGGTTTGGCAGAACCACACTCGGTTTCGTAATTCAATGTTTAGAAACATTCACCACAACGTCTGATATAATTGTGTTAAGAAATGGATGAAAGTTTCACAGCATTCTTGGATCACGGGTAACCCGGCCGTTAGGTGCCGGAATTCGCCGTGTAGAGTTGCCTCCCTTGGACATGCGCGTGGGTTTCGCGAAAGTGGTAAACGTCTAGGACCTGCACCACTTCGGACTTTCCTCTCACATAAGACACATAAAGCTGACACGCCGTGATGTAACAAAATACATTTCAAAGCTGTTAAAACAAATTTACTCAGTCACACAGAGTAAACACATCATCACATATGCATAAAAATAAAATCATATTATTCACATAGTAAATCATGAAAGTGTAAGTCCACAATAGCATGTCTTACCTTCAACAAACACAAACAGCTCCTCTGTAAAATTTGATTTTAGCGAATCAGTTTGCGTGCTGATGGCTTGTACTCTGACGTCATATCCGGTATTCTTCACGAGACCCGATATTTGGGCATAAACAGTATGTCCGACTCCAGGGTCCTCGTCGATCTTCTTGTAGACCCAGCCTCTGGCTGTTGAGTCCGAACGTTTGTAGGATACCTCGAAACGTTGACCCCCTCCCCCGTTGAACTGTGACCTCCACGTGAACCAGAAGCCATCTGTGAAGTTGTCAACTACTTGGAATTGAATGGGTGGCTGCGGTCGAGCTGAAAGAAGACGGACGCCGAATACTACTACTACTACTACTACTACTACAACTACTACTACTACTACTACTACTACTACTACTACTACTACTACTACTACTACTACCATTACTACTACTACTACTACTACTACTACTACTACTACTACTACTACTACTACAGATGTCACCCACCACTCCACCCAGTTACAACTGACTGACGTACCCAGCTGCTTCAGCTCCATGACTGTAGATGTCACCCACCACTCCACCCAGTTACAACTGTCTGACGTACCCAGCTGTTTCAGCTCCATGACTGTAGATGTCACCCACCACTCCACCCAGTTACAACTGACTGACGTTCCCAGCTGTTTCAGCTCCATGACTACAGATGTCACCCACCACTCCACCCAGTTACAACTGACTGACGTTCCCAGCTGTTTCAGCTCCATGACTACAGATGTCACCCACCACTCCACCCAGTTACAACTGTCTGACGTACCTAGCTGTTTCAGCTCCATGACTGTAGATGTCACCCACCACTCCACCCAGTTACAACTGACTGACGTACCTAGCTGTTTCAGCTCCATGACTACAGATGTCACCCACCACTCCACCCAGTAACACCTGACTGACGTACCCAGCTGTTTCAGCTCCATGACTACAGATGTCACCCACCACTCCACCCAGTTACAACTGACTGACGTACCTAGCTGTTTCAGCTCCATGACTACAGATGTCACCCACCACTCCACCCAGTTACAACTGACTGACGTACCCAGCTGTTTCAGCTTCATGACTACAGATGTCACCCACCACTCCACCCAGTTACAACTGACTGACGTTCCCAGCTGTTTCAGCTCCATGACTACAGATGTCACCCACCACTCCACCCAGTTACAACTGACTGACGTACCCAGCTGTTTCAGATCCATGACTACAGATGTCACCCACCACTCCACCCAGTTACAACTGACTGACGTTCCCAGCTGTTTCAGCTCCATGACTGTAGATGTCACCCACCACTCCACCCAGTTACAATTGACTGACGTACCCAGCTGTTTCAGCTCCATGACTGTAGATGTCACCACCGCTCCACCCAGTTACAACTGACTGACGTACCCAGCTGTTTCACCTCCATGACTGTAGATGCCACCCACCACTCCACCCAGTTACAACTGTCTGACGAACCCAGCTGTTTCAGCTCCATGACTGTAGATGTCACCACCACTCCACCCAGTTACAACTGACTGACGTACCCAGCTCTTTCAGCTCCATGACTGTAGATGTCACCCACCACTCCACCCAATTACAACTGACTGACGTACCCAGCTGTTTCAGCTCCATGACTACAGATGTCACCCACCACTCCACCCAGTTACAACTGACTGACGTACCCAGCTGTTTCAGCTCCATGACTACAGATGTCACCCACCACTCCACCCAGTTACAACTGACTGACGTACCCAGCTGTTTCAGATCCATGACTACAGATGTCACCACCACTCCACCCAGTTACAACTGACTGACGTACCCAGCTGTTTCAGCTTCATGACTACAGATGTCACCCACCACTCCACCCAGTTACAACTGACTGACATACCCAGCTGTTTCAGCTTCATGACTACAGATGTCACCCAGCACTCCACCCAGTTACAACTGACTGACGTACCCAGCTGTTTCACCTCCATGACTACAGATGTCACCCACCACTCCACCCAGTTCCAACTGACTGACGTACCTAGCTGTTTCAGCTTCATGACTGTAGATGTCACCACCTCTCCACCTAGTTACAACTGACTGACGTACCTAGCTGTTTCAGCTTCATGACATCAGATGTCACCACCCTTCACCCAGTTCCAACTGACTGACGTACCCAGCTGTTTCAGCTCCATGACTGTAGATGTCACCACCACTCCACCCAGTTACAACTGTCTGACAAACCCAGCTGTTTCAGCTCCATGACTGTAGATGTCACCACCACTCCACCCAGTTACAACTGACTGACGTACCTAGCTGTTTCAGATCCATGACTACAGATGTCACCCACCACTCCACCCAGTTACAACTGACTGACGTACCCAGCTGTTTCAGCTCCATGACTACAGATGTCACCCACCACTCCACCCAGTTACAACTGACTGACGTACCCAGCTGTTTCAGATCCATGACTACAGATGTCACCACCACTCCACCCAGTTACAACTGACTGACGTACCCAGCTGTTTCAGCTTCATGACTACAGATGTCACCCAGCACTCCACCCAGTTACAACTGACTGACATACCCAGCTGTTTCAGCTTCATGACTACAGATGTCACCCACCACTCCACCCAGTTACAACTGACTGACGTACCTAGCTGTTTCACCTCCATGACTACAGATGTCACCCACCACTCCACCCAGTTCCAACTGACTGACGTACCTAGCTGTTTCAGCTCCATGACTGTAGATGTCACCACCTCTCCACCTAGTTACAACTGACTGACGTACCTAGCTGTTTCAGCTTCATGACTTCAGATGTCACCCACCACTCCACCCAGTTACAACTGACTGACGTTCCCAGCTGTTTCAGCTCCATGACTACAGATGTCACCCACCACTCCACCCAGTTACAACTGACTGACGTACCCAGCTGTTTCAGATCCATGACTGTAGATGTCACCACCACTCCACCCAGTTACAACTGACTGACGTACCCAGCTGTTTCAGCTCCATGACTACAGATGTCACCACCGCTCCACCCAGTTACAACTGACTGACGTACCCAGCTGTTTCACCTCCATGACTGTAGATGCCACCCACCACTCCACCCAGTTACAACTGTCTGACGAACCCAGCTGTTTCAGCTCCATGACTGTAGATGTCACCACCACTCCACCCAGTTACAACTGACTGACGTACCCAGCTCTTTCAGCTCCATGACTGTAGATGTCACCCACCACTCCACCCAATTACAACTGACTGACGTACCCAGCTGTTTCAGCTCCATGACTACAGATGTCACCCACCACTCCACCCAGTTACAACTGACTGACGTACCCAGCTGCTTCAGCTCAATGACTACAGATGTCACCCACCACTCCACCCAGTTACAACTGGCTGACTTACCCAGCTGTTTCAGCTCCATGACTACAGATGTCACCCACCACTCCACCCAGTTACAACTGACTGACGTACCCAGCTGTTTCAGATCCATGACTACAGATGTCACCACCACTCCACCCAGTTACAACTGACTGACGTACCCAGCTGTTTCAGCTTCATGACTACAGATGTCACCCAGCACTCCACCCAGTTACAACTGACTGACATACCCAGCTGTTTCAGCTTCATGACTACAGATGTCACCCAGCACTCCACCCAGTTACAACTGACTGACGTACCCAGCTGTTTCACCTCCATGACTACAGATGTCACCCACCACTCCACCCAGTTCCAACTGACTGACGTACCTAGCTGTTTCAGCTTCATGACTGTAGATGTCACCACCTCTCCACCTAGTTACAACTGACTGACGTACCTAGCTGTTTCAGCTTCATGACATCAGATGTCACCACCCTTCACCCAGTTCCAACTGACTGACGTACCCAGCTGTTTCAGCTCCATGACTGTAGATGTCACCACCACTCCACCCAGTTACAACTGTCTGACAAACCCAGCTGTTTCAGCTCCATGACTGTAGATGTCACCACCACTCCACCCAGTTACAACTGACTGACGTACCTAGCTGTTTCAGATCCATGACTACAGATGTCACCCACCACTCCACCCAGTTACAACTGACTGACGTACCCAGCTGTTTCAGCTCCATGACTACAGATGTCACCCACCACTCCACCCAGTTACAACTGACTGACGTACCCAGCTGTTTCAGATCCATGACTACAGATGTCACCACCACTCCACCCAGTTACAACTGACTGACGTACCCAGCTGTTTCAGCTTCATGACTACAGATGTCACCCAGCACTCCACCCAGTTACAACTGACTGACATACCCAGCTGTTTCAGCTTCATGACTACAGATGTCACCCACCACTCCACCCAGTTACAACTGACTGACGTACCTAGCTGTTTCACCTCCATGACTACAGATGTCACCCACCACTCCACCCAGTTCCAACTGACTGACGTACCTAGCTGTTTCAGCTTCATGACTGTAGATGTCACCACCTCTCCACCTAGTTACAACTGACTGACGTACCTAGCTGTTTCAGCTTCATGACTTCAGATGTCACCACCCTTCACCCAGTTCCAACTGACTGACGTACCCAGCTGTTTCAGCTCCATGACTGTAGATGTCACCACCCTTCACCCAGTTACAACTGACTGACGTACCTAGCTGTTTCAGCTTCATGACTACAGATGTCACCAAGCACTCCACCCAGTTACAACTGACTGACGTACCTAGCTGTTTCAGCTCTATGACTACAGATGTCACCCACCACTCCACCCAGTAACACCTGACTGACGTACCTAGCTGTTTCAGCTCCATGGCTACAGATGTCACCCACCACTCCACCCAGTTACAACTGACTGACGTACCCAGCTGTTTCAGCTCCATGACTACAGATGTCACCCACCACTCCACCCAGTTACAACTGACTGACTTACCCAGCTGTTTCAACTTCATGACTACAGATGTCACCCACCACTCCACCCAGTTACAACTGACTGACTTACCCAGCTGTTTCAACTTCATGACTACAGATGTCACCCACCACTCCACCCAGTTACAACTGACTGACTTACCCAGCTGTTTCAACTTCATGACTACAGATGTCACCACCACTCCGCCCAGTTACAACTGACTGACGTACCCAGCTGTTTCAGCTTCATGACTACAGATGTCACCTACCAATTCAACAGGTTATAAATGACAGACGTACCCAGCTGTTTCAGCTCGATGAATGCAGATGTGCAACCACCTCTTGTGCACGCCGTCACGTAGTAGTATCCAAAGTCAGAGGACATTGTCATCCACGTCCTCGACAAACGTGACCCCGAGACGTTAACTTGGTGGCTGTGCATGCGGTAGCCAATTACCTGGCCCTCCGTGCGCTGTCCGACTGGATCCAGTTCTTTGCCATCCTTGCTCCATTTGCTTCGCCACATCGTAGACACATTAAGGAACGTAGCCGACAACGCCGTCCTCGTGTCCACCTCAGCATACACGACGACATGGGCGGCGGACATCAACCTCGGTGCCATTTCGACTGCAGACGAATCAGACAAAGTAGTGCACCCAGCAACTACTCCTACTACTACTACTACTACTACTACTACTACTACTAGTTGGTTGGTTGGTTGGTTTGTCGTTTAACGCCGCACTCAGCAATATTCCAGCTATATGACGGCGGTCTGTAAATAATCGAGTCTGGACCAGACAATCCAGTTAATGACATCATGAGCATCGATCCATGCAATTTGGATCGATGACATGCATCAACCAAGTCACCGAGCCTGACCACCCGGTCCCGTTAGTCGCCTTTTACGACAAGCATAGTCGCCTTTTACGGCAAGCATGGGTTGCTGAAGACCTATTCTACCCTGGATCTTCACAGGTCTACTACTACTACTACTACTACTACTACTACTACTACTACTACTACTACTATCGTCGGATCATAGGTTTTCGACGTCATACGTTTTCGAACGGCCATGTTTACTCACGCTACAACGGGGGTTTACATTGTAAATCCTCAGATGATGGCTGGTTGTCTTTTAAAAGTGAATGAGATGTTTTACAGTTGTTGGTGTAATTAGAGAGAAAACTACGAATATTTCTTAAGCGTCCGAAAACCCATAGCACGGGGATACTGCTACTACTACTTCTACTACCTCTACTACTACTTCACACATACACAAACAGACACATACACACATACACACACACACACACCAGTGGATGATCCAGGGTTTTTGAAAAATGGTGTGTGCGCATAATAATCAAGTGAGTGAGTATGTTTTTATGCCACTTTCAGCAAAATTCCAGCAATTTCACGGCGGGGAAAACCAACAATGGGCATCACACGTTGTACCCATATTGGGAATCGAACCCGGGTCTTCGGCGTAACGAGCGAACGCTTTAGCAACTAGGCGACTCCATCGCCCTTTAAACCCAAGTCATGAAGTGACTTGGCCGCGTGCGGAGCTAACACTTACTGAAAAAGAGATGGTGCCCTACCTGGCACTCCCTCTGTATCCACCAGTGCGCACGCACGCACGCACGTACGCACTCAGACACAGAGCACAACTACCCCCTCTGATACAATTAAAATGACTGCCATCTTCAAAATGGTAAAAGTTCAGTTTTCTTGACAACGAATTACCTTCCTGAGAGAGGTCGATGGATTCAACAGATTTGGTTTGTTCCACTTGACATTCATAGATGCCAGCGTCCTGCAGAGTAAATCCATCCAATTGAAGAGTTGAAACAGAATCTGCAACTTCTTTTGAGATGGACTGAATTGTCTTCCCTTGCCAAGTTTGCGTAAAAGTCACGTTGCTGACGGAAGTGAAATTGGTCAAGGTGCAGTTGAGACTCACGTTGGATAATTCCTTCAGTTCGACAGACGCAAGTACTATGTTTAACCTTTGAGCATCTGAAAAAAACCACACACGTATTAGGTGGAACATACAGGGGAGGAAGATGACGGAGAGGAAGATGATGGGGAGGGAGATGACGGAGAGGAAGATGATGGGGAGGGAGATGATGGGGAGGCAGATGATGGGGAGGCAGATGATGGGGAGGAAGATGATGTGGAGGGAGTTAATGGGGAGGAACTCTATGGGGAGGAAGATGATGGGGAGGAGCACGATGGGGAGGGAGATGATGGGGAGGAAGATGATGGGGAGGAGCACGATGGGGAGGGAGATGATGGGGAGGGAGATGATGGGGAGGAAGATGATGGGGAGGGAGATGATGGGGAGGGAGATGATGGGGAGGAGCACGGTGGGGAGGGAGATGATGGGGAGGGAGATGATGGGGAGGGAGATGATGGGGAGGGAGATGATGGGGAGGAAGATGATGGGGAGGAGCACGATGGGGAGGGAGATGATGGGGAGGGAGATGATGGGGAGGGAGATGATGGGGAGGAAGATGATGGGGAGGAGCACGGTGGGGAGGAAGAGGATGGGGAGGAAGATGATTGGGAGGAGCACGATGGGGAGGGAGATGATGGGGAGGGAGATGATGGGGAGGAAGATGATGGGGAGGGAGATGATGGGGAGGAAGATGATGGGGAGGAACACGATGGGGAGGGAGATGATGGGGAGAAACATGATGGGGAGGAAGATGATGGGAAGAAAGATGTTGGGAAGAAAGATGATAGGGAGGAACATGATGGGGGAGGGAGATGATTTAGCACAAACAAAAACTCAAATTAACTGAAAAGTTATCATTAAAACTCAAATCAGCATCTTACAGAGGTAAATTTCTAAATATAATATTTAGATCAATACTACAATCAAACGGATATAATTCTCGAGGTGCTGAAAGTAAATCAACACATTGGTTTGGCTGCCTACTTATATAACAATATTTATATAACAATAGGTTGTTAATCCCTCACCTCTTATCTGACGTACAGTCAGGAAATATTTACTGATCAGGGGGAGCAAAGATCACGAATATCGCAATGTTAATTTTGTTCCTTGAGCCACGTAGGATTGCCCAACACATATCTCACAACAAACATATGATCAGGGACATGTGTCATCTTGTTAATCTACTACGTACAGGAGACACCCAGTCGGGTCAGAAAGGTCATCTCGGTAATACATTACACAACACACGCGCAGTTGGATCATTGTACCAGAAAGGTCAGACCCGTGAAGATCCGGGGCAGAATAGCAACCCCGTCTTAGCAACCCATGCTTACCGTAAAAGGCGACAATACTTGTAAGAGGCGTCTAACGGGATCGGGTGGTCAGGCTTGCTGACTTGGTTGATGCATGTCATCGATCCCATAGGATCCCATGTGTGGATCGATGCTCATGTTGTCAATCACCGGGTTTTCTGGTCCAGACTCGATTATTTACAGACCGCCGTCATATAGCTTGAATATTGCTGAGTGCGGCGTTAAACAACAAACCAACCAACCAAGTGGATAGGACAACTTACTTATAGTGAGGTTGCCTTACGCCAGATTGTGCCTGGATAAGCGCACCAAATTTTGCCTGTGGATGTCTTTTATCGTTATAAGAAGGTTTAGGACAGTAGACATCAAAAATATTTTCTGCTGCACGTGCTGTGCCACAATATCCAATAGGGCCGATAAACCGTTTCTGTTAAAACTGTAAAATTTTCTAAATTTATTGTAATATGTCATGTCATGTATCAAATGAAAGCTTTTTTGTGTTCTTTTACCTACAGGTGCATTTTGCGTGTGAAACACAAGTTTGCCCTGCATAGTGTCCTTTTTTCTTGTCTGCTTGAAAAAGAACGTTCACAGTTGAGGCGCTTGGTAACGTTGAACACAATTCTAGTTCGGCGACTTCAGTAACCTCATTTCATGGAACTGGCATAAGCTTATTTCATCACCACGAGGGGGCACGGGTGGCCCAGTCGTCTAAGGCGACGCGATTCGCTGTGCAGAGTTGCGTCCCTTGGGCACGCCAGAAACCTATGATTGTGGGTTCGAATCCCTGTTCGCCCTGATTATGTTTCTAGGTATGTCAGCACCATACCCGTGCTCGTGGGTTTCACCGAAGTGGTAAACGTCCGAGACCTGCATCACTTCGGGCTTTCCTCCCAAATTAAGCTGATACGCCGTGATATAACTGGAATAATGTTAAAAGCGGCGTTAAACCCAACTCACTCACTCACTCATCACCATGAGCAAGGGCTTTCCGCACAGGAAACATTTCGGAAGCTGGTCCAGAGCATTTCCGATACGACCAGACAACTGAGAAATCCTTCCATGGATGATTTTGGCAACCTTATAACTCTTGATAGCGACACTGCACGCAAGAAGCAGTTATAACCCAGTAAACACACTGGAGGATGTTGGAAATAAGCAGCATAATGCATCAAAAGTGTGATCGAAGATGGGACCCAGTCTGTTCATGAACCTCTCAAGAGATATTCTCTTACATTATTCAGCCTTCCACCCAGCAAGTCATCTTCTAAACAAGGACTGTGAACGTGAATTAAAAGAATTACTTGCTCATGAGATCCAGGCATTCCAACCTTCTCTCTATGATTTTGGCAAATTGGCGTTACCCGGTCCAACGTCTGATCGTTTCCGATGCTTTGAGCAGTCAAATTAACAGGAACAATCAGCTTCTTATGAATACAAAGCTCCTGTCCATTCCTGGCCTAGTACAGGAATTCACACCCTCGATGATTTGGGTGACAGTGTTTCCATTCCACATCTCATGGGTCAGCTTCAGCGACATTTTGTGGGAGTCTTACATTCGGAGCAGTCTAAAAGAATCAACTTTTGAAAAGAGGAACATGTGTGCGTCGAAAGGTATACCAACAGGCAAAGATACTAGTCAAGTGGATGGATGTCCTGTCTGCTTCTCGGGATAGGGAAGAATTATTTCAGTTCTTTACTTCAAATGTTGCAGAATAGCCATAGCTGTCCATAAGACATCACGAGCAGCTGTGACATTCAAGGGGATGGATTCCCTCACCTTCCGACCCGTGAAGATTCCGGGGTAGAATAGGTCTTCAGCAACCCATGCTTGCCGTAAAAGGTGACTATGCTTGTCGTAAAAGGCGACAAACGGGATCGGGTGGTCAGGCTCGCTGACTTGGTTGATCCATGTCATCGATCCCAATTGCGTGGATCGATGCTCATGATATCAATCACTGGATTGTCTGGTCTAGACTCGATTATTTACAGACCGCCGTCATATAGCTTGAATATTGCTGAGTGCGGCGTTAAACAACAAACCAACCAACCAACCCTCACCTTCTTGACAAATTGCAATCACGAGGAGGCAGACCCAAGGACTGCCACTCGTTCTGTGCATGGTACGACGTCACTGCAGACGCGCACAGTGGATACAGATGGTTTGTTCATCTTTACTGGAACATTTCATGACCTAGTTGTACTACAATCCCAAGCGGATTTTACGTTGCCTTTGGAATGGGAAAGACCTTTGTCTACTTTCACATCAATAAATGTGTACATTCAGGAGAGCTGCATTCTCGTGATTTTCAAGTCATGCCTGTTCGAGGTGTGACATAACATCAGCTTTTGTTGGGAAAAGTAGACAGTTATCTTGACAAGCTTGGCGGGTTGTAAATGAAGTCATGGAAACCTTTGTGCAACTAGCCCACCATTCATTTCAAGTGCTGAACATAGATTCTGGTCACTTCCAAATGCTTGAGCGTTTACTGTTGTCATGTTCGAGAAGACATGTTCTCTGCAATCAATCAATGAGCTGAGAATTGGTCTCTTCTGCCACAAAATTCGACCGATTGCCAAGCGTCTTCCATCTCAAGAAGCATTGTTACACCATCCAATGTCCATCCCCTGAAGGTTTTGAGTGGAACAAATTTGTTACATCATCCAGTTTGAATGGATGGAACTCACCAAATGAATATGCAAACCAAAATGCATTATTTGCAACTGTATTAAAGCTCATGTGGACTGCACACCACTTTGCAGATGCAAATGTTCTGAACTATAGTCATAAACTTGTGTTACCTTAACATCAATCTGACTTAATGAATGACATTATCTGTCCCCATTAGTTTTAGATTTTAATATATTTTGTAAACCTTAATCGCATTCCCAGAGTATGAAAATACCTTTCATTTGATATGTAATATGTCTCAATAGTGAGTAAGATTAAAAGTTTCACTATTTTTTACATTGCTGGGAAAGTGAAATGGCGGCCATATTGGATTTTAGTGGCTACCGGAAGTTATAAATATATTTTACGGTGGCTCCTACCCCATATTTATTTAGTATGGGTGTCTGTATCAGTGTGTCATATTTGATGCTTTTATTTCACCTTGTGAAAATAATTTGGTTAGAGCCCCATGACTATAATTCCCTGCCAATCAGCCACACTATCGGGCCATTGTGCCATCTATCGATCCATCCACAGATCCACCCATCTATCAACTGCCATCGATCATTGCAACCATCATCAGTCTTACTTCATCTATTGAATCATCGGTCCGCTAAACAGTAGATACTTCCGTTCTCCATCCATCGGTTTACGCATCCATTGGTCCCTTGATCCATAAATACTTCCATTTTCCATGCATCGGTACACACGCCCATTGGTCTCTTTAAAAGTAGATACGTCCGTTCACCATCCATCTGTTCAGACATTTCCTTTAATCCGTTTTCAATCGATCAGTTCACACATCCATTGGTCCCTTAATTCGCAGATACTTTCGTTCGCCATACACCGGCTAACACATCAATTGTTCCCTTTAACCAGAGATACTTCCGTTCTCCATACACCGGTCCACACATCAATTGGTCCCTTTAACCAGAGATACTTCCGTTCACCATACACCGGTCCACACATCAATTGGTCCCTTTAACCAGAGATACTTCCGTTCACCATACACCGGTTCACACATCAATTGGTCCCTTTAACCAGGGATACTTCCGTTCACCATACACCGGTCCACACATCAATTGGTCCCTTTAACCAGGGATGCTTCCGTTCTCCATACACCGGTCCACACATCAATTGGTCCCTTTAACCAGAGATACTTTCGTTCTCCATACACCGGTTAACATATCAATGGGTCCCTTTAACCAGAGATACTTCCGTTCTCCATACACCGGTTCACACATCAATTGGTCCCTTTAACCAGAGATACTTCCGTTCTCCATACACCGGTTCACACATCAATTGGTCCCTTTAACCAGGGATACTTCCGTTCTCCATACACCGGTCCACACATCAATTGGTCCCTTTAACCAGAGATACTTCCGTTCTCCATACACCGGTCCACACATCAATTGGTCCCTTTAACCAGAGATACTTCCGTTCTCCATACACCGGTTCACGCATCAATTGGTCCCTTTAACCAGAGATACTTCCGTTCACCATACACCGGTTCACACATCAATTGGTCCCTTTAACCAGAGATACTTCCGTTCACCATACACCGGTCCACACATCAATTGGTCCCTTAAAGCAGGGATACTTCCGTTCTCCATACACCGGTCCACACATCAATTGGTCCCTTTAACCAGAGATACTTCCGTTCACCATACACCGGTTCACACATCAATTGGTCCCTTTAACCAGGGATACTTCCGTTCGCCATACACTGGTTAACACATCAATTGGTCCCTTTAACCAGAGATACTTCCGTTCACCATACACCGGTTCACACATCAATTGGTCCCTTTAACCAGGGATACTTCCGTTCACCATACACCGGTCCACACATCAATTGGTCCCTTTAACCAGGGATACTTCCGTTCTCCATACACCGGTCCACACATCAATTGGTCCCTTTAACCAGAGATACTTTCGTTCTCCATACACCGGTTAACATATCAATGGGTCCCTTTAACCAGAGATACTTCCGTTCTCCATACACCGGTTCACACATCAATTGGTCCCTTTAACCAGAGATACTTCCGTTCTCCATACACCGGTTCACACATCAATTGGTCCCTTTAACCAGGGATACTTCCGTTCTCCATACACCGGTCCACACATCAATGGGTCCCTTTAACCAGAGATACTTCCGTTCACCATACACCGGTTCACACATCAATTGGTTTTTAACCAGAGATACTTCCGTTCACCATACAGCGGTTCACACATCAATTGGTCCCTTTAACCAGAGATACTTCCGTTCACCATACACCGGTTCACACATCAATGGGTCCCTTTAACCAGAGATACTTCCGTTCACCATACACCGGTTCACACATCCAATGGTCCCTTAATCCATAGATACTTCCGTTCTCCATACACCGGTTCACACATCAATTGGTCCCTTTAACCAGAGATACTTCCGTTCACCATACACCGGTTCACACATCAATTGGTCCCTTTAACCAGAGATACCTCCGTTCTCGATACACCAGTTCACACATCCACTTCGGGCTTTCCTCTCACATTACGCTGACACGCCGTGATATAACTGTAAAAGCGGCGTTAAACCCAACTCACTCACTCATTCATCCGTAGAGACCGCCTCCGTGTTGTTATTGATAGAGCGTGTGCCTGGAGAATGGAAGGTCGCTGATCCGACCACAGACCTCGTTAAAAGACGTTAAAAGACGGTACTTTTTTCCACCCTGTCTGGTGCTCACATGTTCGGCTTGGAATCAGATTGATAATTCAACAATGATCCACCCAACCATTAATCCATCAATCCACCCACCGATCACAACACAATTATTCACGATGTTTCGTCAGGTGGGCTAACTAGACATAGATTCTCTTCACGAGGAATATGTTCAGTGACCATTGTCTACATTCAGAGAAGGAACGTCATATGTGGGTATACAATTGATTTTCCCCTCTGCCTTCTAAATCAATATTGAATACAGGATACGAATAACAAACTAGCCTTAACAATTAGGGCCGAAGAAATGTAAAATCGTTAATCCACGTTTTCAAAGCTACCCAACATAACTAATCATTTACACTTTGGTTGTTCCCAAAAAACGATATGTAGTTGGTCAAGACAAAATTGTTTGGCTTCTGTCAGGGAAGAAAATGTACGGTTGTGTCTTAAACAAAACTATCGCCGTTTAACCCTCTACATTCATGTACTTTCTTGTTAAGGCCACACTTAGTCCAGCCTTGGCTCAAACTGTGTGTTTGTCCACATATGGGCATTCTTACCGGTGTTGTGTCCCAGTCCAACAATGACAGCTAACACGAGATAAACCGCAGCAGCCATAACAGCATCCGACGTTGTCTGGTGTTGTCGTTGTTGCTTCTTGGCGGCCTCGCCCAACCAGGAAGTGAACTGCCGAGACAAGGGTGGGACAGCGACGCCACAGAGCGGAACACATACCTGTCGTTATTTCCGTTATTGAGGGTAACTTGTGTCAAACTTTAGATCCCTAAACCTCAACTCTGGGCAGGTGAAATACTTTATCCTGATTTTACGATACAATTCATGCGGATACGGACAATTGACTCATATTAATAGTATGTTTTTTTGCGATCCTTGATGCACTTATACTCGTTTATATGAACATATGTTCTGAGTAATATTGCTATGAGTGTGTGAGTGAGTGAAAGTGAGTGAAAGTGAGTGAGTGAGTATGGTTTTGCGCCGCTTTTAGCAATATTCCAGCAATATCAGGGCGGGGGACACCAGAAATGGGCTTCATACATTGTACCCATGTGAGGAATCGAACCCGGTATTCGGCGTGACGAGCGAACGCTTTAACCACAAGGCTATCGCAGCGCCCAGTATTGTTATGAAAGTTGTGTGGTGGAATAACTCAACTATACAACGAAGACTTGGAGTTGTTTCTGCTGAAGTAATGTGTTTGTTTGTTGTTTAACGCCGCACTATTTCAGTTTTGTGATGGCGGAGCGATTTAATAAACAACTTGCAACTACACACAACTCTGGAACTGGTGTCCCTTCCGCAATACAGTGAGTGTGTGAGTGAGTTGGGTTTAACGCCGCTTTTAACAGTATTCCAGTTATATCGCGGCGTGTCAGCTTAATGTGGGAGGAAAGCCCGAAGTGATGCAGGTCTCAGACGTTTACCACTTCGGTGAAACCCACGAGCACGGGTATGGTGCTGACATACCTAGAAACATAATCGGGGCGAACCGGTATTCGAACCCACAATCATAGGTTCTGGCGTGCCCAAGGGACGCAACTCTGCACAGCGAATCGCGTCGCCTTAGACGACTGCAATACATATATTACGTCATTAAACGTCTAGTGAGTGAGTGAGTTTGTGGAAACAGCATCTTCGGCGTAATGAGTGACCGCTTTAACCGTAAGCGAAGTCACACCCAACCCACACCCACAGCGTCAAGACCTTGACCCACTTAGCGCTAAGATGATCGTAACTCCCATACTTTAACAAAGGCTCACACTAGTCTTAGCGCTAAGATCGCTTTGTGCAAGTGGGCCTTTGTCTACAATGGACTGTTGAGTTCAGTCTCAATTTGAGTGTATGTTTAATGATATTGTTAACAAATATATTGTAATTTCATCCGACATATTCATTAATTCATATTCATGCTCTAAGCGATATATGAAACACGCTTTGGATGCACACATACACGCACGCACGCACGCACGCACGCACGCACGCTCATGTATGTAGTTATCGGCATGTCCTGGGGAGGTCGGGTAGCCTAGTGGTTAAAGCGTTTGCTCGCCACGCCTAAGACCCGGGTTCTGTTCCCCACATGGGTACAATGTGTGAAGCCCATTTCTTGTGTCTAAAGCCGTGATATTACTGGAGTATTGCTAAAAGCGGCGTAAAACCACACTCATTCACTCGCTCTGCATGTCCTCATTCTGTCAGCACAGCAAACAAGTTGTATCCACATTCAATCGACGTCGTTTTAGCGTTTACATACATTTATGCGTAACTGGGCCATGAGACCTGAAAGAAAAGACACTTAGACACTATGCAGTGTTTGTTTGTTGTTTAGCGCCACAATAAACAATATTCCACCGATATATGACGGCGGCACGTAAATAAACATACCCCGTGCTAAGCCGACAAGAGCCATACGCTGTTCATGTTCGTAAGGTTGAATCGGGTGTTTAATCTCTGCAGCTGTGACGCATCGGGGACGTATTAAAACCAGATTAATAAGTCCACAGCACGCTGTTTTGGTTACTAAAATGGATCAGGTACTCCGGGCCGACATGCGTTCAGCGTCCAGGCAGGTCCCACGTTAACATCGGATTATGTGAACAATGGCAATAGGGAACTACTGTCGGGGGCCATTTCAATATTTTTAGATTTTTTCAATATTGTCTGAAGTATACTTAATAGTAAAATAGGGGCGGTCGGGTAGCCTAGTGGTAAAAGCGTTCGTTCTTCACGCCGAAGACCCGGTTCCATTCCCGTTATGGGTACAATGCGTGAAGCCCATTTTTGGTGTCCCCCGCCGTGATATTGCTGGAATATCGCTAAAAGCGGCGTAAAACCATACGCATTCACTAATTGTAAAATATAAATATAGAGTAAAATCTCAATCAATATTTTCATAAATTGTACAACTGATTTAACTTACACCAGCATACAAGTCAATGCAGTACTAACAAATAATATTTGGTATATAGCACATAATGTTCAAGTACTACCAGTATGTTTGAAGTGTCGCGCCTAACAGGGCATGTTATCTATGTATATGTGTATGTGAATACATTGTAAATCAACGGTGATGATATATAACTTTAGTTAAGATGTCATTGGTTGAGGACACTCCTGCAGGACCCCTTTTCTTTCTATATTCCCATGACTGGCAAGCATATCTCTTCTTGTTGGATTTGAGGATGTATCCTTGAAACCATGGGATACGTGCTCCACGATGCGATGGGATGAATGCATCTATTATTGATGATTGATTTGTTATTGTAACCATGTCTTAGGTGTCATAACGTCAACAGACCTGCGAAGATCCGAGGTAGAATAGGTCTTCAGCAACATATGCTTGTCGTAAGAGGCGACTAACGGGATCGGGTGATCGGGCTCGCTGACTTAGTTCATGCATGTCATCGATCCCAAATGCGTGGATCGATGCTCATGATGTCAATCACTGGATTGTCTGGTCCAGGCGTGATTATTTACAGACGCCGTCATAAGGCTGGAATATTGCCGAGTGCGGCGTTAAACAACAAACAAACAAGACCTGTGCCTCGGTTAACTTCTTTTATCTACCAGGAAGCGAAATCCTCAACTCATGTAACACGTCAACCATATATTATTTACCCGGGACAGCGGGGAATCGAGTTTGTAAACATGTCATTTCTGTTGGCGAAAGATTTATTCTCAATCTTAGATGTGTACGCAGGTACTTCAACCACAAGGCAACTCGAAGGTAAAATCAAAGCATTTTATCATCTACAGTAAATGTGGCAAAGGCCAACTTAGAGATAAAGGTACATATTCTATATTAAGATCAAATTTGATATATCGCTGTCTTTTTATCTCGAATTCGAGATAAAAAAGCTAATTTATATGTATTTATATAGTGAGGCGGTCGGAACAGAAGAATACATGTATGTTCGAGATATCGGTACATTAGAGATAACAGGGTTCGACCTCATGCCATGTTAGCAGTATATATCACACGAGTCCGGGTAAGATTATCATCACCAGAAACCTATGCTTGTCGTAAGAGGCAACTAATTTGAGCAGGTAGTTTTTAAAGCCGAACGCCGCAATATTCCAGCGGGAGGACTGATGCTAATAAATAGTCTATCTGGGCCAGACAATCCAGTGATTTATATTACGAGCAGCAATTCAAGCCTCGGGGTACTATGACACGTGACCAACCACGTGACCGAGCCTGACTATCCGATCCATTTTGCTGGGAAACCTTTCTTTAACCTGGAATCATCTGCGTATCCAATCTCAATTGCGTGGTTTGATTCTCATGATGTCAATCACTGGATTGTATGGTCCAGACTATTTCTATTTACAGGCATTCGTTATAAAGCTTGAAACATTGCTGTGTGGCTTTAAACAAAAAAGAAGAAGCAGTCAATGCTTTGTGTGATGACTTGGGCGGTGGGGTAGCCCAACTGTCATAAGGTTCGCCTGTCACGCAGTTGGCCTGGGTTCGAGTCCCCCCATGGAAATGTGTGAAGCCCATTTTGTGTGTTCCCCGCTGTGATATTACAGGAATATTGAAAAATTAACTATATAATAACACTATAAACATCCACTCTTTAGTGTCTGTCAGTGAGATTAGATTTATTTTTCTTTAGTTGTCAGCAATATTCCAGCTTTATCATGGCGGCCTGAAAATAAACCAGGCAAGTGGTTGATATAATGAGTAAAGTTCCACGCCGCCAGATACGCAAGCTCCCAAGTCACATAGCCTCACCACCTGATCCAGTTGTCAGTGGGGGGACACGGGTGGCCCAGTCGTGTTAGGCGCCGAGATTCGCTGTGCAGAGTTGCGTCCCTTGGGCACGCCAGATACCTATGATTGTGTTTCGATTGTGTACGATTATGTTTCTAGGTTTGTCAGCACCATACCCGTGTTCGTGGGTTTCACCGAAGTGGTAAACGTCTGAGACCTGCATCACTTCGGGCTTTCCTCCCACATTAAGCTGACACGCCGAGATATAACTGGAATACTGTTAAAAGCGGCGTAAAACCCAACTCACTCATTCACCAGTTGTCAGTGAGTGAGTGAATAATACTTCACGCCGCATCAGCAATGACGCAGCTGTTCTGGGTACGGGTGGCCCTTCGTCTTAGTCGCCGCAATTCGCTTGGAAGAGATATGTCCCTTGGGAACGACAGAAATCTATGATTGAGGGTTCGAATCCCGGTTCGCTCCGATTATATCTCTAGGTCTGTCAGCGCCATACCTATGCTCGTTGATTTCACCAAAGTGATGAACGGCCAAGACTTGCATCAATTCCTACTTTCCTCCCACATTAAGCTGTCACGATGTGATATAATGTGGAATAATGTTAAACCAAACTCACTCACTCACTCACTCACAGCTCTTCGCATTGTGACGTGTATATTCCTGACATATTGAAACAATAAAAGGGACACTGAAGATCACTAATCTCAGTCACACTGAATGGTAAAAGCTGACTGTTCAAATTAAGATCTACATGTATATTTTGTCATAGGGATTGATTTCTTTCAAAAATGCTAAAATCAGGTTGTTAGAAACTGATCCATTTATGTCATCGATTGCAGGCAATGGAGGGTGCAAACGTGACAGGTTTACTCCAACGGGGCAGTTTTATTCTCACGGGACAGATTGAATCTCGCGGGACAGATATAATCTCGCGGGACAGATTTAATCTCATG